CTTCAGGACCAGACTCCAAAGAGAAACTGCTGAGCTCCAGTTCATTTGCAAATTTGACACCATCAGATCAGGATTAAACAAAGACTGTGAATGGCTATCCAACTACAGAAGCAGTTTCTCCTCCCTTGGTGTTCACACCTCAACTGCTAGCAGAGCACCTCACCCTCCCTGATTGAACTAACCTCGTTAGCTCCATACTGATTTATGCCTGCCTCTGGAGATTTCCATTACTTGCATCTGAAGAAGTGAGGTTCTTACCCACGAAAGCTTATGCTCCCTATACTTCTGTTAGTCTCAAAGGTGCCACAGGACCCTCTGTGGCTGGGCAAGGAGACTGGGAATGGGAGCTGTGAGGAGTGGAGACTGGGACTGGAAGTCAGTGATGGAAATGGGGGGAATAGAAGCAAGTTGGTTGTGTGTGTGTGTGGGGGGGGGACACTGAAATTGGACAAGAAGCTGTGGAGAAAGGGGGAAGACTAGGACTGGCTGAGTAAGGAGACTGGCATTATGAACCAGTCTGGGGGGAACAGGAGTGGGGGAAGGGGAGATAGATCTCACAAGGAGTTGGGGTGTGGAAGGAGAACTGGGCAAAGAGATTGGAATATGGAGCCAGGAAGGGGGTGGGGAGGACAGATGGAGTTTGGATGGAGAGGTGGGAGGGACAAGGAAACTGGGACTGGGTTTAGGGATGGGAGAGACTAGAAGTAGGAGGGATAGATGGGGCCTCAGTGAGCCTGGAGAAGGATACTAGGACTTGCTGGGCAAGGAGTCTGGGATAAGAAGTGTGAGGAGTGGAGACTGGGACTGGGTATGTAATGAAAATGGGACTGGGACCAAGGGGCAGGGGCAAGAGAGGACTGGGACAGGGACAGGTTGGAGGGGACAAGGCAAGAGAAATTAGCAGAAGACTACACTCCCTTCCAGAATCTAAAATAGAACCAGAGATTCCTGAGACTCACCATGCCTCTGCTATCAGCAAATATCTGAGAACCCCACTGGCAAAGTACATGTCATCACCTTCTGGCAGTGGTCCACAAAGAGGTTGACAACCTACTATCACTATCAGTACTTCATTAGCTCAACTGACAGAGGTCAGTGTGGTGGATTTAAAGGTTCCAGTCCTACTGATGGCCCACCCCCATCTCAATGTGATGCCACATAAAGGAATTAATTTTTTTTGTTCAGTTTGTTTTTTTAAAAACCTAGCAAATTACATAGAAAAAAATACTGTAAAAGAATATTGTTATGGTTGCAAAATCAAGAACTCAAAAGTTAGAAAATGCCAGAAGTAAGGTTGCCTGTGCAATTTTATTTACAGTGTCTCACGAGTAAGACATGTTTCCCATTCATTGTACATTTTTCTCCCCCACACAACACAGCCAAGTTGATGAGAAGAATTTGGACCCAACATAGCAACAACCTTAGCAACAGGGCTAACCAACCATGAGAGCAATTGGGACGGGAACCAACAAGGGGAGAGGCAACTCTCAATTTAGTCCTGAGTGGAGCGCAGGAGCTGGTCCAAGAGGTAACTATAACAGGACCGCTTGGAAATAGTGACCATAATATAACAACATTTAACATCCCTGTGGTGGGAAGAACATCTCAACAGCCCAACACTGTGGCATTTAATTTCAGAAAGGGGAACTATGCAAAAATGAGGGGGTTAGTTAAACAGAAATTAAAAGGTACAGTGACTAAAGTGAAATCCCTGCAAGCTGCATGGACGCTTTTCAAAAGACACCATAATAGAGGCCCAACTTAAACGTATACCCCAAATTAAAAAACACAGTAAAAGAACTAGAAAAGAGCCACCGTGGCTTAACAACCATGTAAAAGAAGCAGTGAGAGATAAAAAGGCATCTTTTAAAAAGTGGAAGTCAAATCCTAGTAAGGTAAATAGAAAGGAACATAAACACTGCCTAATTAAGTGTAAAAATGTAATAAGAAAATATGAGGAGTTTGAAGAACGGCTAGCCAAAAACTCAAAAGGTAATAACAAAATGTTTTTTAAGTACATCAGAAGCAGGAAGCCTGCTAAACAACCAGTGGGGCTCCTGGACAATCGAGATACAAAAGGAGCGCTTAAAGATGATAAAGTCATTGCGGAGAAACTAAATGGATTCTTTGCTTCAGTCTTCACGGCTGAGGATGTTAGGGAGATTCCCAAACCTGAGCCGGCTTTTGTAGGTGACAAATCAGAGGTATTGTCACAGATTGAGGTGTCACTAGAGGAGATTTTGGAATTAATTGATAAACTTAACAGTAACAAGTCACCGGGACCAGATGGCATTCACATTCTGAAAGAACTCAAATGTGAAGTTGCGGAACTATTAACTATGGTTTGTAACCTGTTCTTTAAATCGGCTTCTGTACCCAATGACTGGAAGATAGCTAATGTAACGCCAAGATTTAAAAAGGGCTCTAGAGGTGATCCCAGCAATTACAGACCGGTAAGTCTAACGTCAGTACCGGGCAAATTAGTTGAAACAATAGTAAAGAATAAAATGGTCAGACACATAGAAGAACATAAATTATTGGGCAAAAGTCAACATGGTTTCTGTAAAGGGAAATCATGTCTTACTAATCTATTAGAGTTCTTTGAAGGGGTCAACAAACATGTGGACAAGGGGGATCCAGTGGACATAGAGTACTTAGATTTCCAGAAAGCCTTTGACAAGGTCCCTCTCCAAAGGCTCTTACCTAAATTAAGTTGTCATGGGATAAGAGGGAAGATCCTTTCATGGACTGAGAACTGGTTAAAAGACAGGAAACAAAGGGTAGGAATAAATGGTAAATTCTCAGAATGGAGAGGGGTAAAAAGTGGTGTCTTCCAAAGGACTGTCCTAGGACCAATCCTATTCAACTTATTCATAAATGATCTGGAGAAAGGGGTAAAAAGTGAGGTGGCAAAGTTTGCAGATGATACTAAACTGCTCAAGATAGTTAAGACCAAAGCAGACTGTGAAGAACTTCAAAAAGATCTCACAAAACTAAGTGACTGGGCAACAAAATGGCAAACGAAATTTAATGTGGATAAATGTAAAGTAATGCACATTGGAAGAAATAACCCCAACTATACATACAATATGATGGGGGCTAATTTAGCTACAACGAATCAGGAAAAAGATCTTGGAGTCATCGTGGATAGTTCTCTGAAGACGTCCACGCAGTGTGCAGTGGCGCTCAAAAAAGCAAACAGGATGTTAGGAATCATTAAAAAGGGGATAGAAAATAAGACAGAGAGTATCTTATTGCCCTTATATAAATCCATGGTACTCCCACATCTTGAATACTGTGTACAGATGTGGTCTCCTCATCTCAAAAAAGATATACAGGCACTAGAAAAGGTTCAGAGAAGGGCAACTAAAATGATTAGGGGTTTGGAACAGGTCCCATATGAGGAGAGATTAAAGAGGCTAGGACTTTTCAGCTTGGAAAAGTCTAAGGGGGGATATGATAGAGGTATATAAAATCATGAGTGGTGTGGAGAAAGTGAATAAGGAAAAGTTATTTACTTGATCCCATAATACAAGAACTAGGGGCCACCAAATGAAATTAATGGGCAGCAGGTTTAAAACAAATAAAAGGAAGTTCTTTTTCACACAGCACACAGTCAACTTGTGGAACTCCTTGCCTGAGGAGGTTGTGAAGGCGAGGATTATAACAGGGTTTAAAAGAGAACTGGATAAATTCATGGAGGTTAAGTCCGTTAATGGCTATTAGCCAGGATGGGTAAAGAATGGTGTCCCTAGCCTCTGTCTGTCAGAGGGTGGCAATGGATGGCAGGAGAGAGATCACTTGATCATTACCTGTTGGGTTCACTCCCTCTCAGGCACCTGGCATTGGCCACTGTCGGTAGACAGGATACTGGGCTAGCTGGACCTTTGATCTGACCCAGTACGGCCATTCTTATGTTCTTATGTTAACTGCTGCATCTTAAAGCTAGCCTGAGATGATGTCTTTAAAAATCTCTCACTATTATTTTAATCTAGTGCCAAAAAGAGGGGAAGTGGCACTAGTTGATGCAAAGATATATTAGCTACAAAGGTGTGTGACTAGACCAGGATGGATTGGACTAGTGATGTGGACTTCGCTGTATATTTTGCTTTGAGTATGGCTTTTTCCCCCAAACAATCAAGAGGCCTAACAAATATACAGTCTCAAAGTGACCATTACTCTAATTTGAGAAGAACCTCCCCCCACTCACACACACCCATGTTCCTTTCTTTTGCAGCTCACAAACCAAATTAGTTGTAATTAACAACCTAATGATGCTTGATTTCCTCTGATCTGTTTGATTTGCCAGGGGCTTATGAAAGGCTTTATATGTTTTCTTTGATAATAAACTATACTGGATTCCATTGTGTTTAACTGAAATCTGCACTGCTGTGAAAGCTGAATGCCCTGGAATGATTCTCAGCCAGAGAAATTCCCTACCTGCAGGACCAGAGATGGGAACAGTGCTGAGTTGGAGGCTCTCCAGAATCTTTTGTTCCAATCTGATCCTTTTCTGGCTGTCTCCTTTGATGAACAGATTGCTCGAATCCGGAGCTGCATCTCGAGATGTCTTCTCTCCATTGACTAGAACACAAAAAAAGCCACAGTCTGGTTTATGACTGCACTCAGACAGTGTGTGTCTCAGCAAATGGAGGTAAGTTACAGCTGATGGCCACTCTGCCTGGGTCAATTGTCTGCCAGCCACAGGGCAAAACAATATTAAAAGGAGGGCAGAAGGGCAATTTATTGCTGCTGTGGGAGTTGAAACAAACAAAGGGGAAAAGGAGGCGGGAGGAAAGCATGCTGAACAAAAATGCAAAGCAAATTAAGCTAATAAGCTGAAATAGAGAACTGAAAGGGACACAGTCTAACAGAGTGGGCCTCACCAACATGTAGGTACTAAAATGGTAGATAGGTTAACAATATTTATTTGCTATTTAAAGTCTGGTGATCTCATCTTCACATCAGTTCCTGATCTAGGTTGCAGGAAGATGCTGGGATAATTTAGCACACTTATATATTAAATAATTAGCCACATATGAGGCTAGAGATGGGTCAGCCATAAATGCTGAATCCAAATCTGAACTTCCCCAGAGCATGGGGAGATTCTGTAAGCTGGTGTTTTGACTGGGCAAGCTATAGATATTGGGCCAGCCATGAAGTTTAGGTCTAGATCCAAACTTTCTTTGAAGTTTGGAGGACAGTTTAGATCCTGGGTTTTGATTCAGACCTATCTTTGTGTGAGTCAAATGAAACTGCCCCATTCCAACAAGAACACTTCACTCGATGGTCTTACGAAATTAGTGTCAATCACAGAATACCTAGGTTTACCTCTTTTCCCAGGCAGCATCCAATTTCTATTCATTTATTTGTCACAGATAACAAACCAGCTAAGGACGAATGTTTTGCAACCACAAATTGACTTTTGAGCCATATTGTGTAGACAGGTGATGCCACCATCTGGATTTGCAGTGGACACTCCTGCACCATATGTCTCATTATCCATTCAAATGCAAAGTCAAAGCTCAAACAAACTGATAAAGCATGTAGTGAAAGAGTCTCCTTCATCTGCACACAGGTACAATTTCAGGGATTTACCCTGATATTTCTGGAAAGATTTAGAATACAACTGTACCCCTTCACCCAATCACAAATAAATGGCTAATGAGAGGCACACTTACTTGTTAGATAACAGTCCAGGCTAAGAGACACATTGTCAAAAGCAATAATGGCATCGGATTCTTCCTCCCATGAAGTGATGATCTGAAGCCAAAACCTGTACAGATGGGGAAAAAGAAAAGGGATCTAGTTACGTTAAGGAGATGCGACTCCAGAGTTACAAAAAATAAAAGGATAAGTTTTAGAAAAGAGAAAACTTCTCCTTTGACATACGATCATGCAATCTTATAGTAATGGAGAAAGAATACTGAACCCTGCCTCGCAAGGTCAATTGAGTACTATGCTGATGGGGACTGTAGAAATACCTAGATAGATACAAAGGGGAGTATGCTTATACTTTTGTTACAGAAAGCAAAACTGAGGCACAAGGAGAATAAGTGTCTTGTCCAAGCTCAGACAGCAAGTCCGGGGCAGAACCATGAAAAGAAACCAGTTCTCTTAATTCTTAGTGTAAAATTTTCAAAAGCAGTGTGACTTCAGAGCATAGGTTCCCTTTTCAAAAGTGACTTAGGCACTTTGGGCTGGATTCACCATGATGACTTAGGCTCAGCATTGAACTGCCTAATGTTTAGGGGCCCTGCCGCCTAGTGGGATTCACAGCCCTGAGTTAGGTGCCCAGGCTCCCTATTCAATACATGTGGAGAGTTAGGTGCCCAAGAAAGGGATTCACAAAAGCCAGCATGCCGAGCGGGGACCTGTCCACGCTAGTCAATAGGTAATGCTGAGGAGAGGAGTGTGGTATAACTCCTACCCTTCAAAGGCAGTTAGATGTCTAACTTCAGGCCGGAGGGAAGCTCATCCCTCCATTCGGGATTCACAGCTGTGAACCCTTTCCTGGAGATAGGTGCCTAAGCCAGGTCAGGCCTTTCTTTCAAAGAAATCAAGGAGGATGAGGTTCAAACCCCTCCTCTGCCAGATGTGGGGTAGGGATTTAAACCCAGGTCTCCCACCCTAACCGCTGGGCTTATATACAATGACTTCCATTCGCTCTCTGGCCCAATCAAGATTTGTTGTATCTGACCCAAATTCACAAACAGTTTTGGTTCCCTGAGAAATGCGTTTTTCAGCAACTTAACTATTCACTGAAAAAAAAAATCATCGTTTCTAAACCTGGGTGAGTGCTCTAGCCACAGGGCTATTGGGTAAAAAGGGAGAACCCCCACCACCTCCCCCTCTAACTGTGTTTTGTGGGAGGCCCCATCCAGTAGGGGACTTCTGAGAAAGCCTTCTGGATTGGGTCCTATATGTACGATAGGCAGGAGGATGTCTACTTTGAGGAACATGCCGGGGCTTAGACATGAGTTAGGCGCTGGGTGTCAAGACTTGGGCAGTTTTGCACATGCCTAGCAGCAGAATTTTAAGCACCAAAGAGATGCCTAGGGAATTTAGACACCTATAAAGTTAGGTGGCAACTGAGTAGAGGTTTTGAGGATCTAAATTTTGGATTTAGGTACCTAAAGAAGCAGTTAAGCACCTAAATCCCTTTGTGGATCTACACTTTAGAAGCCTAAGTCACTAAGGTGCTGTTGAAAATTTTACTATCAATCTGCTGCCCTCTACACTGGAGTATACATTTACCACTGATTCATCACAAAAGGAAATTCAGAATCTCTAACTCAGATCTTGCAAGACAAATGACAGAAGAATTTGCCACTTCCAGACTATGGGAACTGTAGAACTGTTTACTTTAGTGCAAAAGAGACTGAGCATACATTTGCATTAAATCACTTTCATGCTCCCAGCTGGCCTTCAGAGGGGAGCTAGGAAGAAATATCATGGCAAATTCATTTTCAATTATTTTTCAAGCCAACTGATATAGCAAAAATATTAATTTACAATAAATATTTCCAGTTCTACAATATATAGTCAATGTAATGATATAGGGTACTCATGGGCTTAAACTGACTCTTAGAGTCTAAGCTGTGCAATTTCATCTGTTCCTGCTGCTTATTTGCCGCCTGGAGTCATAATCCTTTCCTTAGGACACAAGAATAATTTCTAACAGTAACCAACTGTGACGCTGGGACAAGATGTTGATCTCAAAGGTTGTATGAAGGCCACAAAAAATGATACCTTCAGGTGAGGACCAAGGAGCAAGAGAATATGAAATCTTAAAAACAGGAGAGATCTTGAGCCAAATTCTCTGCCGCTTCCTGATTCTCTGCCTTATCCCCAGCCCAGGGTAGAACAGTCTACCCTTGTCTACCTTGTCTATGGTCTCCCAGGGTATACGTACGCTCCAATTAGGCACCTGCCGCTGGCCAGAGCCAACTGACTCTGGCTCATGGGGCTCAGACAAGGGCTGTTTAATTGCGTTGTAGATGTTCAGGCTTGGGCTGCAGCCCGAGCTCTGGGACCCTCCCTCCTTGCAGGGTCCTAGAGCCCAGGCTCCAGCCTGAGCCCAAACCTCGACACTGCAATTAAACAGCCCCTTAGCTCAAGCTCTGCAAGCATGAGTCATCTGACATGGCCAGCTGTGGTTTTTTAATTGCACTGCAGGCATATCCAAAGAGACTATTTGTCAAGCTGGGGATAGCTGGGGTGAAGCCCACTCCACCTACTTCCAGTCCCCACCAATGTCATCCTTCCTGTGCTAGGGACCACGGGGACAGAGGCAAAGGATCTGGCACAACCAGGAATTCACAAGCAGCAAAGTTGCTGGTGGTCTCTTTGCACCACCTGAGTGGCATAAAGGGAGTGAAACAGAGTAGAAAAATCTGCCCCCTTATCTCCATGCAAATGCCCTGATCAGAGAAGAGTTTATTTATCCCTTTACTCTTTATTTCTGCAAATAGAAAACTGTAATGTTGTGATACTGAAGTTTCTCCCCTCAGCATGAAAGGGGCGATATGAGCTAGAGAATGTATCAAAAATAGAATGATTTTTAAAATGTTCTGAAAGACAGAAGCAGTAGCTGTTTAAAAGAGGCTGATTGACACTGGGAATTGCATATATTCTGAAGGAGAAACATTGCTAACAATCAGAGGAAACTCAATGAGATGTCAAAACATAACCATGTTTTCTGAACTGAACTACCTTTATTACCTAGGAAGCAACAGCTCGATCTAAATAACTCCTGAGAAAAATCACAGAAGCATAGTCCTTTCCCTCCCCAGCTATGTGCTGCAACAACCTGGTACTGCCAGAAGCTCTGAAGTTTCTAGTCAATCACCTGAGTCCTAATTAATACCGGCATGGGGGTAAATCTGGGGAAAGCCTTGCACAACATTTTTTGCTTTTGCAGTCCACAGTGTTGCGCATGCACACACAGGCCTCTCTCTACCCACCCATCCAAAGCTGAAACCCCAATATGCTTTGAATAAAATAATCAAAGTATTCTAGGTACTGGTGTACGAATGGACACAGTGACATTAGGCATCCCAAATGGCTCACCTTCCCCTCACTCAATACTTGGCACAACACGTTTAGCATTTAAGGCACAGGACTGAATGGCTGGAGACTTGGGTTATATTACAGGCTGCGTCACTGACTCACTATGTGTCCTTGGGAAAATCACTTAGAGCTGGTTTAAATGGCATGTAAAGTGTTCTAAAGGGGTGTGATTTGGAAAGCACTTTAATGTGTTGTGCTCTAGGTACCTAGTCTGCATTAATGAGTGCACCAGCAGGGCCTACATAGGGACAACTAAAGCACAACAGGCTAGAGCATTTTGTAAATCACACCTCTCTAGAACACTTTGCTGCATCACATAGACAAGTCTTTTATCTCCTTGTGCCTCAGTTTTTTCCATATTAAATAAGGATAATACCTGGAAGAGGGGAGATTATGAGGATACCTAAATTAATGTTTGTCAAAGTGTGTTCTGATCCTTGGATGGAAGGTGCTATATGAATATAAATTATTATTGCCCTAGCACAGGGCTTATCCAGGCCATCAAAGTTTATTGCTTGAAAATCCAATGAAACCACAGAAGTGAGAGACAGAAAAGACTCAGTAGGCCATTATCCTGGCTAATGCATCACTTTTGCATACAGTCTATTCTCCAGTGCTTTGGGATTCTGGTTTTATAAGACACAAGCAATGAAATAAACTGAAGTGGAGAATTAGTGCTCCAAGGTGATGGACTGCCACACATGTAGGAAATAGCATAACCTGTCCAAGAAAGGTGGAGGAGGGCTAGTGAGATCCAGGTCAAGTAGCATGTCCTTGACAAGAGAATCAAATCAACTGCTTTGAGGCCTCAGGTTGCCGAGACGAAGAAACTGAGGAGGTAGAAGGCATCAGTCTTCTCCTCTTGGACCTTTGCCTTCTCTTAGATTGGTCAACTGACAGTAAGGGTAATATTGCTGCCTAGGCTGGTATTAGAATAAGGTTTGCCCTCTTTGTTGCCAGAGTGTAGAGGCCCAAGAATTTCAAAACCACTTGAGTCCCTTAGCATGTACAAATCATCCTCTGTTTTAGATAAGAACGCTGCACATCTCTCAAAGGGGAAGTCCTTAGCTGCCTGGTGCACATCCGCAAGAATCCCTGAGGACTACAATCAGGAGGAATGGAGCATAGTCACCACCATCACTGTTGTCTTGGCTGCAGAATCTGCTGCATCCAAAGAAGCCTGCAAAGCTGATTGAGAAATGAGGCAGCTCTCTGAGATGAGTGACTAAAATTGTTCTCTGGAACCTTCTGATAACTTGCTCACAAACTGAGATATTGCCACCTAGCTACAGGAGTCCTACCTTGACAACTGATGGTAATTGCAATATGAAGTTGTAAATTTGCTGAAGAATAAAAGTCTTTCTACCAGAACAGTCAAGCTTTTAGGCACCTTTGTCTCTGAGGTAGCCTTGGCCCAGCCCTGCTGGCTCTTCTCATTCACCACGGCCACTACTAAAAGGTCAGGGGTGGGATGTAAATAGTGTTCCCCATTTTCAGTTGTTACCGGTTTCCACTGATGAATTACCAATTTCTTTATTAAAAGGAGTTCAGTTTTTACTGATTTACACCCATTTATCAATCCACTTGGTATTTTGTTGGGTACTTTTTATTGTTAAACACTAGTCCTTTACGTGACTGTTGTGTCCTGCAGCGCTAGGACTGAAGCAGTTCCACGGTGTAAAACACAGAACACCCACATGGTGG